GGCAGGGAGCCGAGGTTGGGTGGGGATCTGCCCGAGGCTGTCCGCCGCTCAGCGCCTGAACCTAGGCCCCGGGCTCACCGCGTCCCTCGGAACCGGCGCTTCCTCTAGCTTCCGCCGTCGCCACCGGCCCAGCGCCAGGCTGTCCATGCGACCTCAAGTTTGAGACCGCTCGGCCGCTCGGGTCCATCCGGAGTCCGGGCCCCAGCCCAGCTCCGCCACCACCCTTTCCGCACGTGTCTCGAGGAAGCCAATAAGGAGGTGGAAGGGGCGTGCCCGGTGAGGAGGGCGTGAGCCAAGTAAAGCAAGCGCAACGAGGAGCAGTGGAGACCAGCATCTTCTTAGGGAAAGCATTCTAGGTCGCCAATGGGCAAAGAAGTTCACTTCTCTGTTCACAGAACCAGCCTGGAAGCCCAGAAGGCCTGTCCGGTTAGGATAGCGACGCTTGACTGCCGAGTTTAAATCCTCAGAGAGCGCCCGCCTCTTCCCTCCTGTGATTGGCCCATTAGCCTCCCTTCGCTCCTTGCTGTGGTCGGTAGGATGATTGATCGTATAGCGGGCCAATCAACGCGAGCGATGTTGGGGGCTGTCTTTGGGAATTGAGGTTTTACTAGCTCCCGCCTTTTAGGCTGCCGGGTCCCTCAAAAAGCCCGGGTGCTGTCCTTCCTCGGGCAATCAGAAAAGCAAGGCCTGTGTTGGAGCGTGGGTGCCGGAGTCCTAGCTGCCCGTGGGGCACTCCTCCATTCTCTCTGAACGGCCGCCTTTGGCAGAGTGGGAAGCGATGCTGGGATTTCTGTAACAACTTGACCGAACTCTTCCTCGTCCCGCATCTCCCTCCCTATCTGTTGTAGTCAGCAGGACTTGACCAGGGAATACATTTACTACAGGTCACATAGATTATAAGATTATTTTATGATAGTTACCCCAAAAGCCAAATGTTAAGGAGTGCAAGAGATTAACCGTACACTAGGGGCCCAAGAATCCAGATCCCAGGGGATTCCCACACAAGTCTAGCTAAAGGCTTAGAGTCCAAGGCAGTGTCCTCGAGTCTAGCCAGTGGCCTAGAGCCAACGGCAATGTCTCAGGCTTGTCCCTAACTGATGAGCTGCACCCCTGGAAGGCCCAAGGCCAGTAGTGGAAGCCAGAAAATCTACACTGGTGAGATGAAGGATTTGTGCCACCAAGCTGAGGGATCTGCACTGGAGCCAGGAACTGTTGCTCATGGTGAAGATCAGAGCTCACCTGATGAAAACAGCAGCCATTCCCAAGGACAGTAAGGCCCCAACCTCCTCCAGGGAGAACAGCTTAATTCACATCAGGAAAACCAACCGCAGCAAGCTTCTCCTAGAAAATCACCAGGCCGAGAACTTCCTCTCCAGTTCTCTTTTTATGGTTATTGGTAACAATTTTCAGGTGGATCCCCCACGCCCAGACTACTCTGATTCAGCTCAGCTGGGCGTCAGAAATTGACTATCAGTCAATCCACCACATGTCCCTCAGAGCTCCCAGTGCTTCTGCTCCAAAGTGCCCAGAACCTGGACCCTTTTTGATAAATTAAAATAAAGCCAACCAGTCCTGCTTGTTGCACGCCTGTAATCTCGTCACTTTGGGAGACTGAGGCAAGCTAGTAAATTTGAGTCCAGCCTGGGCAATTTAACGACTTGGCGAAACCCTGTCTCAAAATAAATTTTTAGAAGTTGCTGGCAATGTAGCACAGTGGGAAGACCCTGTACCAGGGGCAGGGAGGGGGTGGAGTGTGGGGCTGCCTTCTCTCCTACTGTTCCCTAGTGTTGGCTTCCTGACGCTGCTGCAGCCTTATGGTCACCACGGAGCTCTCTGGTGGGAACCTTAGGGAAGTAACAGGACAGCCCCGTGCTGATTCTGGAATTTGTCCTTAGCAGACCAACTTTGACCTTCAATTCCTAATCCTTTAATAATCCCTCCCTTTTTCCTGGCATTTTAAACTCAAGAAGAGGCCTCACTAGATAGATAGTATAAATCCTGAGGCGGAACCACCTTCCTGTAGAATAACAAACAGAACTCTAGAACTCGACCTTTGATACATTCTTCCTTAGTAGCTAGCCATAGAAGGTCGAAATCCACTGTGAGAAGGCACACGCCTTTGCCCAGCCTGCAACCTCTCAGCCCCTTGCCTCCCCATAAAAATCCTGCTCACCCCTGAGCTGGGGGAAGTGCAAGCTAGAGGAGCTATCCTCTGTCTTCAAGGGCTAACTTGCATGAACCCAATTTCTTCCTACCAACTCTTGATTTTCAAATATTGACAGTCAAAATAATTATAATGGGTAGGGAATTGTGTGTACTAAATGAAATATTTACATATAAAGCAATGAGTACAATGCCTGACAAATTACTCAATAAATGGTATATTACTTCTTTTGTAGTCTTAAGACTACTACTACCACTGGTTCACAAGAACTTGAGAACTCGTCCCAGGGTCCCATTACCCAAGGCAAACAAAAAATCTCCCATCAGAAACCATTGGTATCAGATGTGGTTTTGAAATGCAGAATCTTTGAAAAAGGCAGTGTATAGCACTTTATGATGTGCCTCCAGAGGGATCCGTACAATGTCTTATACCCAGACAAATATACAGTTACTTCAGCACAAATATGTGAATATTCACATATACTCTGAGTGGGATATATAAAGATCAGTTCAAATGAGTAGCTTCAGACTTGGGGTCAGGGACCTAACAATTTTCAGAACAATTTGAATTTCACAGGTGAAAGTAAGGTACAATTGTGGACCCGTATCACTTCCTGTCCTTTAAAAACTGTTTCGGCTTGTTGTTTACCTTAAATGACTTGCTCTGTCATTCAATTTCAGTACCACAAGGCTTTGTGGTTATGGCTACTTTTCAGATGAGTCATAGAACAATATCTCAGCAAATTTAGTTTCAGGAATCTAAATGGCTTTTATTAGCAAGTCATGAACCAGGCAACATCCATCTACAAAATATATGTACCAGTGAAATATGGTGGATCTTATAGGCAGACAAAAAGTGGACAAGTGACAGGAACAATGAACAAATGGCAGATTGGTTTCCAAATTTCCTCAGGATGTAAGTGAAATCTCGACAGGGATTTGACTCACTCCATTGACCTCTCAGAAAGTCAGATCTTACAAGTGTTTAAGTTTTGATTGGTAACATGGAACCTTGGTATGGTGACTCCGTGTAGAGCCTGCTGTCTAACAGATGCTTAAAACAAATCCTGGACCATTTCTCCAAGTAATGGAGGAAGAAATTCGGCCCATGAGTTTAATACAGTAGTAAGAATATTTAAAAAGATACAGTTTGGGCCAGGGACACAGCTCATTGGTAAAGCACTTGATTAGCATGTGGAAGGCCCCAGGTTTGAGCCTCAGCAACACACACACACACACACACACACACACACACACACACACACACACACGATGCAGTTAAGTATTAGAAAAAACACAGAAATAGCTTCATGACATTGGATTCTGACTGTAAAGTTCAACAAAAGAAAAAATAAATTGTACTACATGAAAATGACAAATGTTTGTGCATTGAATAATACTACTAAATAGTACAAGGAAAAGGTAAGCCATGGAATGAAGCAGATATCATGTATCTGATAAGGATAAATTGAGAATTTATAAAGAATGCCGACAAATTAACAATAACAAAATGATTTAAAACCTACAAAATAAACGAGTAGACATTTCTCTAAAGAAGATAAACAAGTGGCCAATAAGCACATGAGAAGATGATTGACATTAGTTATTAAGGAAATGTAAATCTAAACCATTTTGGTTTACCACTTCATATCCAGGTTGACTATTATCAAAAGAAAAAGATAAAATGAAGGTAACAAATATTATATAGGATATAAAGAAGGTGGAACTCTTGTATATCATTGGTAGGAATGTGAAGTGCTATGCCACTATTAAAAACAGTATGTTTTTCCTCAAAAAAATTAAAAATAAAATTACTATATCAGCCAGCTCCCTCTGGGTTTATACACAAAATAACTAAAACCAGAGACACCTATGTTCATAGCTGCATTTGTCGCAATATCCCAAATGATAGAAATAACCCACACATCCAATGATGGATGAATGAATTCCCAAAATGTGATTGAGCCGTTAAATTGGAATATTACTCTGCCTTAAAAAGGAAGGAAATGCTGACACAAGCTACAAAGTGAGTGAACCTTGAAGACATTTACACTGAGTGAAACAGTCCTGTCACAAAAAGTCAAATTTCATGTAATGCTTATCTTACCACAATAAAAATACACTTATTAAAATAGAAGTCATTTCTCTGTATGTTGCTAACTGATATTGCATACCACTTTCAGGGGAAGTGGCTCTCAGGAGAAAGGTGACTCCAGTTCCAACACTGTCCACTTCCAGGACAGGGCAAACTCTTTTAATTGCTGAATTGCCATCCCCTTTTGGGGGTATGAAAATGGAATGATAATAATGGTGCCTACCTTAATGGGATGCTTTTAGCTTTGAGGGAGCTGTATTGGGAGCGGTAAGCTCTCGCCTGATGATGACCACTGTGATTATTATCTCCAGCCTGTTCCCAGCTGAAGTTGGGTCATGTGGTGTTCAGGAAATTTCCAGAGAGGTTCAATTTTCTTATGGCTCCAGTGATGTGTATTAGGGTGAAGTACTCATTTCTGAGCCCTCTCCTTCATCTCTAAAATAGGAATAAAACAGCTCCTGTTGTCACTTCCAGAGAAATCAGAGCTTCAAAGGGTGGTGCCAATTTGCCTTGATTAAAACGTTTAGTTCAGCCTTGCCAAGGGAAATGTATCTCTCTCCCATGTGTGTGTGTGTGTGTGTGTGTGTGTGTGTGTGTGGGCAGAGGCCCAAGTAACTTTGATGTATTGCCTTGATTAAAACGTTTAGTTCAGCCTTGCCAAGGGAAATGTATCTCTCTCCCATGTGTGTGTGTGTGTGTGTGTGTGTGTGTGTGTGTGGGCAGAGGCCCAAGTAATACTTTGATGTAGCTGTTGCAAAGCCACTATTTCTGTTCTCCTCCATTTCAAACTCCAATGACTTCTTTTAAAAATCACTACCTGTGGTCCTCATGTTGGGGCATAAAAGATAGCATATGTAGTCTGTAGCATGGACCCGGCATACAGTAGGTGATTAGTAATATCACCTTTCTATCCCTTCCTTCTTGCACTCCTAATAAGAAATGTCAATTCTTCCTTAGGCACTAATGTAAGTTTATTTTTGTCTTTAGAGGTCACAGTTTCTTTGGATATGATAATAACAATAATGGTTATCATCTTTAAAGAGAGATTCTTCCCCTTACATTGCACCTCATTTGCTCCTTTCTGTTTTTCAGATTTTGACTCCCAAGAGGAATTGTGGTCAACCACCCAGCCTAAAGGATCCACCCTGGCCCACTCTCGGCTCTCTGGCACTCATGGCCACATGGTTGTTTTCTTTTTTTACTGGTTGATCCCATCCTCCCGAATGCTTC